TACCTTGGTACGAAAATCAATGAAAATTGGGACTATTGCCTAGAAATAAAATGTAGGATAGAGAAAGTAAGATCTGCATTTTAAAAAATGGCTTAGCTATTCAAGTACCAGGATTTATTAGTACCCATAAAAATCAGGTTACTACGCCATTTTATCTTTCCTATAATGTTGTACTGAGTTAAGTCGTGGACTCTCACAGACGCTACCTGTAAGAAAATGGAGGCTTTCCAATGTAGCTTTCTCGTCAAATTCTAAAGATATCCTATTCCGACCAAGGTACTAACCAGGGCGTGTTATTAAGAATACAAAAAGCAAAAGAGTTGTTAACCACAATACAAACAGTCAAAATCGAATACCTCAGATAACATCATGAGGAACAGCGAAAGATATGGGTTGCTGCAATTAATTTTACAAGAAAAAGTAGAAAAAAACAAAGTCCAGGAAAGCAACACCTTTCCTGGCTGAAAAATCTACGTACGTCATTCGACACAATAACCACAAATCTTTTCAGAGTAGCAGTTTGTAAAATACAGATTGCCATGATGGTCGATAACATCCGAAAGGATAGGCACTACAAGAAGAAGACGATCTTCTTGGAGATCTTCCTCGTGATTTTCTGCATTTTATCTTTTGTTTGATAAGTCTTTTCATGTTTTCTTAGTCTGCTCTCATAACATGTCCAAAGTATTTTAATTGTTGGAGATGGACTTTGCTTTATAGCTATTAGCTGAGTTTCAGCACATTTAGAATTGAATTATTTGTCCTGTAGTCTGTCCACGAAATTCGTTACATTCTTTTCCAACAGAACCTTTCAGTAGCGTCTATCTTTCTTCTTTTCGCTTGTCGTAGAGTCCGAGATTTATATCCGTCTGTCTATATTGGGAATATTAAGCAGTTGATGTTTGACATCAGTATCAACTGCTTGATATTCCCAATATAGACATACGGATGTAAATCTTGGACTTTACGACAAGCGAGCCCGTGACCTGAGCAGGTCATAAAGCTCGATATAATGACAACAGGTGGACACGGAGAATTCTAGAATGGAGACCAAGACAACAAGAAGCATGTGAAGACCTTAAAAAAGATGACATAAGAGCAGTGACAGGCAAACAGTGAATTAGACTGGCGCAAGATAGAGATTTAATATATTGTAGATATATTAAAAAGCAAAAATATTGACAGTCGTGATCTGAAAATTATATCTAATTTATATTGGAATCAAACTGCCAAGGTAAGAGTTGACAGCCAGTACACCGAAAATATCAAAATACAGAGAGGAGTCCGCCAGGGTTGCGTGCTGTCCCCACTACTTTTCAATGTCTACAGTGAAGCGGTATTTCAAGAAGCGCTCTCAGACTCAATAGAAGGTATATCTATCAATGGAGAAGTTTTGAATAACTCACGTTTTGCAGACGATACAGTAATAATTACGGATAACAACAATGATTTACAGAACCTAATGCAACGCCTTAATGAACGCTGTCATGAATACGGGCTGAAGATAAATTTAAAGAAAACTAAATGCATGATCATGACTAAATCTGCACATGCAAATATCCAATTGACTATTGAAGACACTGCAATTGAGCGTGTTAATAACTATAAATATTTAGGAACATGGATAACATCAGATGTAGACCAAACCAAAGAAATTAAGACACGTATTGAAATAGCACGTACATCATTTATTAAACTTAAAAAGTTTCTTTGTTGTCGGGACATAAGGTTAGAACTACGCCTGAGAATGCTTCGATGTTACGTGTTCTCTACTCTTCTTTATAGTCTGGAAGCTTGGACACTAAAACAAGTTCATCTGAATAAGCTGGCCGCCTTTGAATTTTGGTGTTACAGAAGAATCCTACGAATATCATGGATTCAAAGAATGTCAAACATGGAAGTAACTAGAAGGATAGGAAATGAGGCGGAAATAATATTAACTATTAAAAGACGAAAACTTGAGTACTTGGGACATATGATGAGAGGGCAAAAATACGCATTATTACAACTTATTATGCAGAGCAAAATCCGAGGAAAGCGAAATGTGAGAAGACGAAGAATATCCTGGCTTAAGAACTTAAGGGAATGGTTTGAATGCAGTAGTGCAGAACTTTTTAGAGCGGCAGTCAACAGAGTCCGCATAGCCATGATGATTTCCAACCTTTGATAGAAGATGAAACTTAAAGAAGAAGAAGAAGATAGAGAAAAATGAAAGCAATTGGGAGAGACCTACATTTAGAAGCGGACAGAAAATGGTTGACAAAGAGAAGAAGTTGATTAACCTCATTTTTAGAGTTCGTTAAATTTAAGAGTCCTTCCATATCTTTTCTACCAAGACCAAATCTAAATGATCAAATATTTGACTTTCCTTTTCAACCAGTTGTATGAGATCAGTTCAATCTTATGAACTATTTGCAAGAAAGGATGTGTCATCTGCAAAACGTAGGTTGTTAATTTTTTGGCCATTTGTTGACCAGACACGGCCATAAAAGAGCTAATAAACTTGTCAGAAGGGCATTGTATACAAAATACTTCGGTTTAGAGCCGACCGTGGTAGTGCCAAAAAGCAACGTCCGCGACCGCAAAAAAACATCGTCTGTGACTTGGAAAAACCTGGACCTGAAGACAACATAACTATCACTGGAAAAAGCTCTAGATCAAGCACATGCCAAAATGTATAGTGGGACATATTCTAAAGGGACTAAACTACTAGTATACTGCTAGTATATAGAATTTTTCATGTAAAAATGATTGCACGTTATTCAAGATTTACGTCGTCAGAACCCCACAGCGTTGCCAAAACATCAGAATAGTTAGTAATTAAGGAATTTTTAAAATGTCAACTATGTGTCAAACTATTATATTAAAAGTAAATACACTTAGTTTTAAGACTACTGCAACACACTAAAATACATAAGAAAACATTTTAATACAAAATTATATATTCACCATTTTAAACTTATCTCTTTTAGAGCATTAATCGTAAAAACGTCCCGCTATTATTTCTTGTTTAAAATAATCTATCTCATATGCTAGATTATCAGCTTTCTATTGGGACCGTGAAAGTTCGGAAGAGCGACACCTGGTGTCGTAAATCAGCAAAATTTACTGCGATTTCATGTTAGATCGAGGTTACCGGATAACCGTCAAGGACGTAGCCCCAAAAAAGAATAAGAAGAAAAAGTAAGATTGAGATTATGTCGGTATGTTATTAAAAGGTAAACGTTGTATGCAGTGTAAATACAAATAAATATATTATTAAATTACAGTATTACTGTTAATATGGATGCAATAATAAAAACTGACCAAATAACTTTTCAACTAAGCACTGAGTCAAATGGAAAAGCTTTAGTAGTGGTAAATGTCAAAAAATGGAAGAATTATGTGGAAGAATTAAGAAAAATAAATTACCATAAATAATGCTAATGCATAAATTAGCAGGTTAAGCGCATGATATCATCATATTGGTTTGAAGAATTAATTCTTTCCCTGTAAACTTTTGGACAGCGAATATATCTTAATGCATCTTCAGAAAAACTTGAACTGGATACATTTTTGTAAACTTCAAAAAAATAAAATTTAAACATTAAACTTAATTTTTGGGTTAAAATGAACTCTAAGTGAGTGTTATGAAACTAAAATTTACACTTAAAAGTAAACTTTTATTTATTATTTATTTCAAACTGACTTTAAAATCGGGCCCAGAATAATGCATAATTTAGGTTATGTTACTTATGCTTTTTTATGATAGAAATCCACTTTTCCCTTTGTAGTAATTTGTGCTTCGAAATTGGAAACGTATAAAAATTAAATTGACAATTTTTTGTTGTATTTTTACAATTTATAACACAGCATTTCCTAAATCCCATTTTCTTGAGGGACAGAAGGTGTAAATAAACAAACGAATATGAAATATGACAATTGACAATATGAATTTATAAAATCTATGAAATGTGCAGTAAAAAATGCAAGATTTCTCCGCTACTCGCGCACGATCGTTTCTCGTATCACATCCAAGTACTTGCACATCGCCAATAGATTATTTAGTTGTTTTGGCATAGCACATTCACAACACACAACAATAATTAGTTTTTAAAGCTAATAATCTAAATTTAATATGTATTTATAAATACAATTTATTAAGATATATTATAATATAATCAAATTGTGTAAGAATTCAAAACATTCTTACACATCAAATAAAATTATTACACTAAAAATGCGGCAACACTTTAAACAATTCGGCCACACGTCATTAAAATTTAAAGTATTCCTGTATCATTGCGTACAATTGTCTAATCTATTTAATTAAAATTGTTATTTTGTGGAATATTAGACTTAAAGAGTTATTTCATAAAATTTGTATTATCAATAATAAATAATTTTGGTTATTTAATCAATACATGTCTAAAAACCCAATATAATGATGATTACATTTCTCTGATTATTATACCATGTTGACGCCTATGATAGATCGAGCAGTTCCGAATGGGTTTTGTATTATTAGCTATGTTATGAAAATTTGAACTCTAAGGTTGATGTTCTCGAAATTTTAAATATAAGTGACGTCACTTTATATAAATTGTGACGTGCAACGTTTTTACTTTGAAAAATGGTATAGTATACTGGTACTTCTAAAGGGCTGAAAGGAACTGTTTCATGAAAACACACTCTGTAGCAGAGTATATAAAATCGTCACTTATATCTTGCATGACTGCGAAGCATTAATCGCAGAAAGCAAACACTTTTGGAAAACTGTCGAGTGACTTTAAAACAATATGCTACCAATGCTCTATACTGGTACAAGCTAGTGCGGTATTCCAGAATGCTGGAATAGGTATTATAAGTGAATGTAAGATCACAATAAGCCAACTGCCTATACAAGTAACTACTATGAAAATTTTTAATGCTTTTATTTATAATAATTAATAATTTATAATCACTAAAACAAATAATGATTAACATGTCATTGTTTCCTTATACTTTGATTTTGTTTTTAGAGAAACGATTCGACAGAGACACACGGGAGACGGCCGAGAGATGTCCGAATCGAGATCCAGGCTTGGCTTGGGATTATCTTCTTTGGATTCGCGTCACTCTGGACAACAATCTGTTGATTCAAACGGGTTGGACTTATACTACAATAGTCGACCACCCGATGCTAACTGGGGCTATCAGCCCCCTCCACCGGTCATTACCGAACAACCAAAGTCCAGTATGCAGCACTTCCAGCCCTACGAACGAAATTATCCCAATACGCTAGAGAGTCTCGCTGAAAAGGTACATTCGTTCGGGATGAGCAGAAGAATGTCCGCTGGGGGACAACCTCTTGGAACTAGGTAGGTGTCCCCTTGGGTATCAAAATATCGTTTTTAATACTTGTTTACTATAATATTGCCTGTTAATATTAACGAACTAATATCAAAATAATTTAAAAATATTTATAAACTTAGTTATTTAAATTAAAGTGCCTCGACTTACGGTTATTGACATCAAATCAATATTAAAATTTCCATATACGTGTCGCTAAAATCAAAGCTTTAGGTTGCACTAAAAACTTACTTGAGTAAAGAAAAATTTCGACCAAATACCTCAATTTTTTAAATAAAACTTAAATTAAGCAACAAATTGTGACGTACTTTCTTTAAAATCTAATGCTAAACGTCTTGGCCCTTATAAGACAAGATCTTACCCCAGGAACACTACGTACATAACATAGGGGAAGGTGGGGGAATATCGTGAGAAATTTTATCTAATTGACGTCGCAGAGTGAAACGAATGCGAACATGTTAAACGCATCAACAGCAGGTGGTGCACTGGCGACTTAGTAGTTTTTCATAGGCCAGAGGCACTTAAATTAATGTCTAGTAAATTCGTGTTTTGTGGAAGAGTTTACATTCTACATTCTACATTCGTACAATCTTTCCTTTTAAGGTAAGGGCTCCTTTCTTAGCTGAAGTTAGAATTTATAATGCATGAAAACATATTTCTAGAATACAGATATCCCAAAATCATATAATTTTAGGTTAAGTTCTTAAAAAGTTCATGTCAACCATGAGCACATGGATAAAATCGACCACAGTGATCGATTTTACCCCAATGTGATCGATATTAACCTAATTGTGATAGGTTTCAGTCGATGTTACTTATTTCAGATGCCACTAACATATCGCAGAAAAATAACACGATCCTCATAGACCAAAGAGGTGATGGAAAGAGCCCCCAGCGATATAGCTGACAAAATACTTTCGATAAAAGGAGCATCCAGGTAATACAACATTCGTTATGACACATTGCAAGACCGATTAAGAGGTCGTTTCGAGGCCAAAAGAATCACACTAGGACGAAAAGCTGTCTTTACCAAGGAAGATGAATCCGAATTTGTATCTAGAATTTTAGAACTGTCAAAGGCGTTTTTTGGCCTTACGACAAAAGATATTTGACAAAACCTTGGCAACTCTATGTGTTACAAACTTTAATGTCATCAAATTTTTAATGTTGATGAGACTGGTATTAGTAATGTTCATATTTGCTGTAAAATTGTTGCTGCCAAAAGCCAGAAACAAATTGGTGGAATTATAAGTGGTAAATGAGGACAAACCACGATGCTAGTATGTGCTTTCTGTGCCTTAGGTCAATATATGCCACCTATGTTTATTTATAGAAGAAATTGGATGAAAAAAGGTTTCAACAAAAACGGTCCTATTGGGGCAATATATAGATGTTTCAAATCAGGGTGGATAACGGAATAACTTTTCTTTGAATAATTGAAACATTTTCAGCAGCATTTTAGTGCTTCCAAAGACCATCCAGTTCTTTAATTGCTAGATAACCACACAACGAATTCAAGTCTGGCTTTCTACAATTTTTGTCGAGACACCGGAATAAATCTCGTTTCACTGCCGCCGCACAACTCTCACAGTCTCCAGCGTCTAGATATCACGTTTTTTCTCCATTCAAGACAGCTTATACCAAGAATGTGCAATGATATAAAACAAAAAAAATATGAGAACATTAATACAACAGACATTGCAGAACTTGTTAAAAATGCCTTTAAAAATGTCTGTTGAGAAGGCTGTAATTGGTTTTCGAACCACAGGGATCTTTTCCTTCATTCTTGATGTTTTTTGTGATAAAGATAATATCGATAAAAGTAGTTGAATTAAATCAAAATAATGTGTCTTCTCTGCCCGATACACATCAAACACAATCGCCAACACCAGTTCCCCTAGATGAATTACCAGAACCCAAAGGAGTCCAAAATAAAAAACTGAGACCAAAAGCAGCATCATCATCAGAAGATTCTTTATCTGAGTCAGAATTAGAAGAAGTTTCAGACATTAATCTGAGCAACGATAAGGATAAATCTGTTCAGCTGGGAAATGAAAGCTTGTCTTATATATATTTCAGTGTAATATATATTTCAGTGAACTATGCCCTCTACCGGCACTACCAGTCAGTACTTATACAAAAACTAAAAGAGGCGAACTCAACATGACCATCTTAACATCAACACCATTAAAAGAACGATTAAAATATAAGGAACAAAACAAGCAAAAGAAGAATGAGGTTGAGAAAGTTAAACGAATAATTGGAGCTACTAAGATAAAAACAGAAAAATTAGTCAAGAAGAAGACTTATGGAATAAAAGCATACCAAATACGAGAAAGCGAACCATGTGCAGTCTGTTCGGAGTTTGGATCAAATGAATTATGGTGGAGATGTCGTCTCTGTGGTCTCTGGGCTCATGCAGACTGCACGGAAGCGGATACTGCTAGTCTTTATATTTGCTCAAACTGAAAATGTAACTAAAGAAATATGTATTTTATAATTAAACCTAAGTAAACTTAACCATTTAACTTGGTAATCTGTGATCGATATTCTTCATCCTTGATCGATATTACCAATCTCCATTGTCGATATTACCCGATTGATCGATATTACCCGAATTTTTTTAGTTCCAAAACTGTGTATTTTTTAAATATTGGTAATTATTTTATAACATTTTTAAAGCAGTAATTGGTTAACTGAATGAACTAAATGTCTATATTATAAGTTTCAAATTCGTGAAAGCTATAGCAGTCTACAACAGTTTTGTCTTAAGTAGTCGATATTCCCCCACCTTCCCCTAATTGATCAAACTCACATTTTACATTTAAAATTAGAAAAATACATTGATAACAGGTTTCTAGTCAAAAAATGACCGCAAATATTTTTAATTTAAATAATAATAATGAATTTTTTATGAGTCAAGTAAAGATTTTCATTTACAAAATATTTTAAAAAGGAATTCCTACTCTTATATATAATATATCATATTATAGTCATATATTGAACGTCCAAAACAGTAGTTATTAATATACGAATGAATTTTTTAAATTTAATATGCATCAAATCACTATCGAACCCAACAAATATATTACAATTTAAAAATTTTTGAACAAATATGAATATCTTTGAGACTTTTTTACAATGTAAAACATTTCATCAACATTTGACATTAAATATTGTAGAAGGCAGTTCAATTTCTTTTTAATCATTCTCCCCATGTTTTTCTAGAACTGGAGTCGTCAGTTTTTGAATTTGTACAAGGCTCTTTCTTACGTCATCTATTAATTTCAACTGCTGTTCGTAATTAATAGCCTTCCAGAAGAACAAAGCAACTAAAACATTCTTTCTAATGGGTCGCCAAGCACTCTGCACTTCTCTCTTGCAGTCACAATCTTAACAATGGATTCTCTGCTAGAGAATTTAAGTTATTGGGTAAAATTTAGTTAAAATGGGCGCGCAAATTTGTCGCTTGACATATCCCACAAATATGTATATATATATATATATATATATATATATATATATATATATATATATATATATATATATATATGTATATATATATATATGTATATATATATATATATATATACAGGGTGTCCCATACTTAATGGGACATTAGCTAATGTGTGATAGCTTACATCGAAATAAAGCGTTTGAGCTCAAATTGCTTAGGCAAAATGTTGTTAGTTTTCGTTCTACAGGGTGATTCATTATTATTTTTTTATAATATTTTTAGGAATATATTGAAAATTATTAAACCGATTTAAGTCAAATTTGGTATCTTGCGATTATTTAGTATGCTTAATATGAAAATGATAATATTTTTACCATTGACACTAGTTGGTGCCACCTTCTATAATATTAGTTCATTAATGTGACCATCATTTTTTAAGCCCTGTACAACCATTCTACGAAAAAAAAACATGAAATAACATTCAATGCTACACAAAAAAGGTATTCTTGTTTCAAATCAAAAAAGTACACCGTTTTAGGAATAAACGTATTTTTTAGAGACGTGCATAAAGTGAACAAAATTTACAAAACCTTATGTAAATTCAACATTATTCAAAAGGTCTACCAGTGAATACTAAATGTATTAGTACTAGATAACTTTGACAAACAACATGCATATGATTGAAACAATTATTTTTATTAAACCTTTTACACAGTAATAAATTAAAAAAAAGAGAAATTAAATTAAATAAAACAATAAAGTAAATATAAAACCTTCAAAAAATTTTAAGGCTATTATCGAGCACAAGTTTAACTAAATCAGGCCCAAGTACTTTCGCTAGAATAGCATCTTCAGGGGCATCTGAAATAAGCCAAGAAAACGTTTTTTAGAAGAAAGAAATTAGTTAACTTCGATAAAACTCGAAGTTAATGGATGAAAAAAAGGTTTTTTGTGATTGACGTTTTAGACTTACTTCGTCAAATAGGGACTATCCAGCAAACGTAGAATTTAAAAAACATTGAAACTAACATAAAATTGCACAAACAACACACTGAAACAGGGACAAACAGTTTAAAATTAAAATCAAGACTCTACGCACTACATTTTTGTCGGTGTCTGTATGGAGAATGATATAAGCGGAAGTGATAAGGTGACATGTGACATATGACAACTTTGATAGGCAGTCACAGTCATGGATCTGTACATATCAAAATTCTGTATAAGTTGTCATTGGCCGAAGGTCAAACTAGAACTACTGTAAAAATCAGCTTATGAAGTGTGACATATAGAATATTTTGAATTAAACTAGATTGGATGGTCCAGATCTCACACTCACACCCGTCTATAATAATAAGGTTGTAGATTTGAGGGTAAATGAAGTGTACATAAAGTGTGAATGAAAGAAATAGACCAAACGATCTATTGGACAGTGGATGGTTGACTACAATAAAATGGTCGACCAGGCAATGTCAATACTGCAAAAACGAGAAGAAAAATTGACTATGAAATTGAAATATTAAAATTAAATCAAATTTGAAAACAGTGTATAAA